CAACACTGTTGAGAAACAGCCCCAAAGTTACTAACTGCTGGGAGGTCCTCTCGAACACCTTACTACTAAGGGGGATGGGGTAGTTGTAGTAGGAACAATATTTCAAGACACTATCTAAGGTAAGGTCTACCCCTGACCGGCTTTTGTGCCACACCCTCCATGACTCCACGTGTCAGGATCTGTAGTAGAGGTCAGGCCAACCACCATGTTGTTTCCTGTAGTCAGTCGATAAGCATTAAGCACTTGCTATGTATCAGGTATCATGCCAAGTGCTGGGAATACAAAAAAGAGGCAGAAGACAGCAGCCCCTGTCCTTAAGGAGCTTCCATTTTAATGGGAGAAGGAAGGTGCAAAGCAGGTAGGTAGAAAGGGGGAGGTATCCAGGACAGAGGCATGATGAAGAAGTCCGAAGGGTTCAGTGAAGAGATGGCTAGCGGGGATGCCTTCCTTAAATGGACATTCGGGGAGGGGCCCCCAGGGTACTTAGGAGTTCCAGGGTTGAAGTGGTCTTAAAAGTTGAAGAGGTTTCTAGGGCATGATGAAGTCCAGAGGAGGGCAGGTGGGTGGGAAATAGAAAAAATAATGAGGCAGATGTGGCACTTTTACTTTTTTAATGCTAATGTTTATTCAAGCAAAGATACATAATTAATAAGCAAAGATATCCCTGATGTGGACACGTCCAAAGTGGCTTTGTGCAATTTCCAGCAGCTTGCATGAATCAGGGTGTCTTGTCAAATCTGGGAAGCTATCTCGGGGTTCTAGCCAAGGACTTTTAATTGGTTTAAATTACTTGTCCCTGCACCAAGTCTAATTATATTCCCAGCTGTTTGCATTTCCATCAGTGAGTTCAGCTGTGGGTCTCAAAGCAAAAATTCCTTCAGGCCTAATGGAATACCCTTCCTGGTGGCTTATTTTAGTAGTCCTATTCCTGTACCTTGTCACAGGACCAAGAGGTAACCAACTCTACCCTTAACAAGTTTGGTTTTGAGTATAGGCTGTCTTTCACCTTTCTTGTGTGGCCAGACGTTGCAAAACTACCCATCTGGAAAGCATTAGCTGGTGAATAGGCAGGGGAAATAGACATAAGGGCTTTATCTCCGTGCCTGCAGAAAGGCCCCTTTATCTCCATACACCCACATTTGCTGCATTAATAGGGTTTCTTTCCAGTATATCTTATAGTTAGTGAGAGATTTCCTGACTAAAGGCCTTCACATCCATAAAATGTTTTTCTCAAGTAAAGATTTTTGGAAGATCAATAATAAGGTGTGCAATCTCATTGCAAGCCTTCCCACATTAATTACATTCATAAGAGTTAAGTACAGTATGCATTCTGTTGCATGAATTTATCAGTTTGACTAGCTTTTGCCAATAAGCCAGCACAAATCAGAGAAATAGGTTTTATTATACAGAGTGACACACCACAGCAGCATTTGATGAGAATGTGTGTCATTCATAATTCAACTAGTAGTATTTCTATATTACATGAAACAAAGAAAAAAAATGGCTGCTCATTATAGGGCAGCTGGTTATACAAAGAAAAAAGTATGTTTGTTAAAGAAAGTGTATATCGTTAGCTAAAGGAGATAGAGAAGGCATGTGCCCTTGTTAGTACAGTTATTTCACTAAGTCAAAGGGAACGAGATATTAGGCTAGATAAGGGGAGACATTCCAGAGATGATTGAGTCCTTTTTTTAAAAAAAACTTTTTTAGCAAGTAAGTCTTTTTGCATCAATTATAGGAGGAAAGAAGATATTGAAGAGAACCAGCTGCTGCAGCTGGTCTTTTAGTTCATGCAGACATCATACACAGCAAAATTGCAAATACAGAATAAAATGGAATCGGTTACGTTCTCCTAAATACTCGTTTTTTAACAATTTCCCCTCTGTCCCTAGATAAAGCCATTTTTTCTATGGGACACCTAATATGAGGATGAGATTAAGTCAGCTTGTATAGCAAGAGAGGCAACTTGGTCCAAAGAGGGTTATAGCGGTTATGAAACAAAGATATGCGGGTAACAAATCATACAAAATTCAGAACATTCCCTTAAAAACTAATCATCAAACTTGAATCAATAAATTAGTTGTACTACAGTAAATCTAAGAAGGAACAAGAAAATTAAGATAAAAACAGAGTACTCTTAAGAGATAATGGACAATAAACACAGCTGTATTGTCGGAGGGGAAAAACAAAACAGAGAATGCATCATAACATGCACTTAGAAAACAGGTTTCTTTTCCCATCATTTTGGGTTAGCTGTCTACTTCATGAAGTCGTCTGCTTCTGGAAAACACTTTTCCTAGGAAATTTCGTGTTAAAGGGGGACTGTTCTTGACCACTGTCCACAAAACATCCAGCTTAATCTACTTAAACTCAGAGACATGCATCCTTGAATCAAAATCTGTTTAATTGAGGTGTTAGTTGTCAAAAGTACATGGAATGGGTCTTTTCACCTTGTTTACAGGGTGGATTTGCAGAGGTATTTTCTCGACTACTTTCCCGGTTCCAGGTCACTTATGGAGATTCTTTAAAGTAATTTTGTCTTTAATCTGTTGGTGATAAGACTTAATACGGTTTAGTAAGGCCTGACAAAACTAATTACATTGGTTTTCCAGTAATTAGTTCACATGGTGAAAGTTGGTACAAGTCTTATGGAGTTAACTTTATGAACATCACGGCTATAGGAAGAACATCAGATTAGGTCACCTGTAACTCATTTGAAAGTTTAGTTTTTAATATTTACATAATATTTTTTCTGTAGATCTTTACCTGAAACCTGCATGTGGTACAAACACATCATTCTAGACAATGCTATCTGTGGGCTAAAGAACAATCTTAAAAAGGATCCTTGAGAACTGACTTTGTAAAATAAGTCCTTCTTTCTCTTGATATTATCAGAGAGAGACCTCAAACAGAAATGAAAACAATCCATCTCCCATTTTAACATTCCCAAAATAAGATCCAGATGTTTTGTTTTAACATTCAACCATCTTGCACATAACAAAATGCTTTGGAAAACGAGTCCATTTAATATACGAGCTTTAACAAATTGAGACAAATCTTTTCCTAAAGCTAAGTGCTTTAGAATTATGCGACTGTAAAGACCTGTTAGGTTTAATGAGTTAATAATCCAATTATTTTGTATCATATATAGCCAGACATACTAAGGGGAGGGGATGTGATCTTTGGCCATTTGCTTAGGGCAAGCAGCAATTTCTACAGAGTAACAGAGAACACTGAATTCTGTATTTACTGTTCACATATTTCCCTGGATGGTTAAGCTACTGGAGCTTAAGTTTTGACGTGTAAAACCATAAAAACATATTGCTTCTAAAGAATGGCAGCATATTTTATCTAGCCATCTTTGTTTTTCCAGTCTCAAGTTAATGCTTTCAAAATCTCATTGAACCTTTCCTGACATATTACATGGTTTGCCAAGGACCACAAGTATTTTTCTTCTCTTCTTCCAATCTATGTACATATAATGTATATAGCTCCAGGTACAGTAGTTGAAGTTGTTTTGTGAAGGAGATGGATAACATTTATTTCCTCTTTATCCTTTTATTTAAAAAATGGTTTAAAAGTTTCTTGATAACTAATTAAACAATTCTATATAGGAAAGCCTCAATCCAACTTGAGATCTTATAAACAATTATTAAAACCTATCCAAAGCCTGTGTATTTAGGCATTTGTATGGATAGGCATCTGTGAATATTCTAATGGACCTGAAAGAAACCTGAAAGTTCAATAGTTCTTTATTATCTCCAGGATAAAATTTGAAATGTATCATTTAGGACCACCATCTTTCCTTGGACTTTTCCACTATTTTTCCACTGGCACAACAGTTGAAGTCCTAAAGCTACTAATACAGTTACAATTATTGTGAATCTTTAATTATATTCCTTTACCCAATGGAAATCACTTGAAAGTCAATCATATATATCATAGTTCTCACATGGAAACAGTCGAATTTTGTTGCTTTTTACAAAGTGAAGATTATTACTTCATTAAATTAAAGCATTTACATCTTTATTCCGTATCACATAATTAATCCATAAGGACATATTTTATCTTCAAATCATTCAGAAAGAATGTGATTCTTTAAGGACATAATCTTATACACAAATATTTAAGTATTAAAATGAGCAAGGAGATGGCAAGTCTATGAACTGACTTGTCCTAGTAATTTAGGTTAGAAAGTTGAAATGAGTAGTGGTTACCTACTCCAAATAGTAAAAATAAAAGCAATAGGGGCCTTCCTACATGCATCCCAATACAGCAGCTCAGAGATGCTCAAGGCTTGTAACACTAAGATTCATTAGAAAACCTTTGTAGTTCACCTACCGTGGTTATAGACACTTGCTATGAAACGGAAAAAAGGAAGGACATGGTTGTAACAATGTGAAGAATGTTCCTTCAGGATTAAGCCTAAAGCACAGACTGATCTATCATAAATATAACAGGATAAAGTTTTTTTGTTTTGTTTTTGTTTTTTTGCTGATTTTGGGTTCATAGTAACATTTTGGAACAACCAATCATGCAAGTTTCACATTATTCATAGGGTATCATGGCCAGGCTCAATATAAACCAGGTGGGAAATTTTGCTATTCAGAAAGGAAAGAGCCACAGTGGGGAAACTGAGTCTAGAAAATCCTTCCATTACCTTCATAAGGCTGTCTTTTCTCAGTCTTCCCAGGTACTTACATCCACCTGTAGTATTTCTCGGAACACACACCCTTTCAGCTGTTCATGGCATTTCCTTTGAATGGTGCAGTAATTCAAACAGTTATACCTGAATTCAAAACTCTGAGCAAATCCAATTATACTCCCAAGAAGTTAACTCCTTTAACATAGAAAATTCCACTATTCACAACTTAAGGGAGGACATAGTTATTTTCTTGTTGTTGCAATAATATTCGATTAAAATAAATAATTTTAAAAATTGATCCTCAGTATTCACCAAGTATATACAAGGCATTTAAAAAAAAAAAACTTTAATTCATTTCTGTGTATGTATATATTCAGACATCCTGATGTCATAACCAAGTAGTTAAAGATTAAGAAAATAATCATATTCTAGGGCTTTATACAAAAATTGGATGTTTGATACAGTTCACTCAAATTTGAGAAAGTGGCTTCTGTCAGTTTGGATATCTTAGGGTATCATATATTAACTTCTAAGGCAAAAAGAAAAATATTCTCACTGGGACCTATACTATGTTGGCTCAAAGATATAACTTCAATGCATATTTTTCAGATATAATTTTATCTAGTTTAACCATTTTCATAAATTTCTTAATTAGTAATTCAATTTACTATTTTAGAATTTGCAAAGTTCTCATTTGTCATGTATGTTCTTTTAGTTCCTTCTTCCATGAAGCTGATAAAATTTTATGATCTTGCCTAAGTTGAAGATCCAAAGGACCTGGCAAGTCCTTAAAGAATTTCACAGATAAGAATTTACAAGGTCTTTAGGTTTTGCCAAATTCTAAATAATTACCATCATTATTCATTTTTTAAGCAAAATATAACCAAGGAAATAGACAAGTTTTTGGGGTGTGTGTGTTTGTGTGTGTGTTTACCATAATGATAAGTCTCTAATATGTGATAGCTCAAATTCATCATTTCATAGCATTCAGATCAAAGGAGTTAATATCCTAATAATACAAATGTACAGTAAGTACACTCTAGGTATCATTTTTCAAATAAACACCATTTCTTATATGGTTTCCCAAAATCACAATGCAAAAAATTAGGAACATTATTTTAAAAAATATTATGGACTTCAAACATGAAACAAAACATTGCAAGTCAAATGACATCAACTCAGTTGAATGCATTCTGAATTATCTTACAAAGAAAACCATTTCATCTATCGATTTTGGCATTCTATGTTAGTTGCATTCAGAGATCAGTATGGAGTAATTAAAACTGAATGCCCTTATATTATAAAAGATGGCATCAGTAATTACCATTCAGAACACATTTCATGTTGAAAATAGTAATTTCGCCGGATTTATCAAAAGGCAGTATAAATAAAAATTTTTAAATGCTCAATTTTAAATTTTGGCTCAATTCTAGCTACTTTTCTACATGAACAAATTAATGAAATAAAGCTTGGCAATCATGAGAAATCTCAAAATTAACTTTTAACTATCTAAGAAGAAAATAAGCACTTCTCCAGATGTAACAATCATCTTACTGGCATGGAGATCTTCCTATTCTCCTCTAATCTAGACTAGCTGTAAGATTTAACTTAAACTTCTCTATAATACTTTATTACCTTCTTGGCTTTTCTTTTGACTCTTCTGGACATTCTGGCAGCAGGCAGAGATAAGGACTCTGTATTGTGCCAACTTAGGTAAAGAAATATTCCTGCTTTTTGAGAAATCTTAACTCTCAATTCTCATTGCTTTCTAATTAAGCTTTATATTCACACTAAGTGCAAATGGTCTCCAAATATCCTTTAACTTTCTGTTCCCTTCAAAACTGAACTTTGATTTCCAAACTGATTCAACCCTTCACTTTCCTTCTCTACTTTCTCAATTCCTCATATCTTTTATTTCCCAATCATATCCCACTCCATCCACAAAACTAATTTTCTTTATGCCACTAAAATCTCTCCTCTCTAAATTAGCACAAGTTTTATTATACAATTCCAGTTAACTGCAAAACTTTTACTTTTTCCTTGATCAAAATTGAAACTTTAAGGCTTACAGATAGTTCCTTATTTTGTCAGGTAAAACATTTCCAATTTGCTTCTTCAAGGATTTGCAAATGCAGTCAATTCTAATTTTTTTTTCAGCTGACTGCTTCTAATTTACTTAGGCAATTAAACTTTATTAAGTCATTCACAGAACACAGAGGTAAAATGAAAACTTTCCCTTAAAATGAAATTTTGATGATTTAAACAAACCTTTCTTTCCAATTTGTATAGAAGAGTTAATAATTGCACTATGTGGTTCATAAGCACCAGATACTTAGAAACTGCAGACTTCAAAACCATGTTTCTTTATCTATTTTCTTTTATTTATTTTTTTACTGTTTAAAGCTTTCTTAGCTTTCTCTAGTCAGTGAAATCACCTTCTACTCTTACCTTAAAACAATAAATCTGTCACACTTCAAGGAAGAGAGAGGGTGGTTAAAAAAAAAAAAGGTGAAGTGCTATTTGCATGTAATTTTCACAAAGTTTTCATTTTTTTTAAAGTTTTGGGAAGCATCAACCCCAAAAATTCATGAGATTATTTCAGCCTTTATAAAAACATCCAAACCACATTTTGGAAATTCACAGTAAAGAAATTACATTCAGTCACAAATTTAGTCTCTAATTAGTTTATAATACCATAAATTTATGTAAATGGGAAAAGGATTTTAGTCCCTCTTATCGATCTCTTTCTGTGTACTCCCAACCTGGCTAGAATTAAGAATACAGAATTATATCTTCTGAAAGATTTGAAATTTGTGGCATAAAGTCCTCATTCCCTCCTTCCCACCCCTAATTTTCTATGGAAAGTTTAATGGGAATGGGACAGTTTAACACTGTTAACTGGCTGGGTATTTTGGATGAAAAGGGCATTTCTTCTGCCACTGCCAGAGGTGATAGCAGTCTTGGCCAGAATTCTACTGCAAGGTGGCTAAAAGTTGTACTTGGTGATCTTCCTGCATCTGGGTCTTTACCTTTCTCTCTTCTCATCCCATTCACTGAAGATAAAAGTTATCAGCAAGAGGATTTCAGAGAGAGCTTTTTCTTGCCCCTAAAGGGCAAGGTTGTAAAGGGCAATGTTACTGTCCCTTAAAAGAACAAGGTACTGTCTCTGGGTAGCTGGTATCTCCAGAGAGGGAGTATCTGAGACAAGTGGTGGAGCACTAGGTGGAAAATGTAACAAAGAATGCCAGCATCCATCCTCTGGCAAAGCCTCACAAGGAGGCGGCATTCTCTTTCCCCATGAGAAAGATTCATTAATTTCACAATTTGGTTGGCAAAATTTATGCACTTCAGGATCTACCCAAATAAATCAATAACTCATTTGTCTTGGGAAATGGACCTCTATTTTTTCCCTCTAGAATTTATAGAGTTTCATGATCATGTTCATGAGATCATAATGGCCGGGGCCATTATGTATTAAGATTAAATATCAGATGACCATTTAGTTTAACAAAGAACAACTTCACACTTAGAGACTAGTCCTTCCTAGAATTTTTTTCCCAATTCACCAAAATGGATCTGAATATTCTATTCTAGAAAAGAAATACCAAGCAGATACCATATGATGACTGATTACTCAAGGTCAAATTGAGGCTTTTATCAGTTTTATATCATTAATGTTTGGGATCCCCCCCCCACCACTTGAGTTTATGGTTAGATGACCTATTTGACATCCACCACAATTTCCTCTGGTTCTGCACTACCAAGTTATCGTTTTTCCAAAGGCTCCTTGGTATCTTAGTGCCAGACACCAGACCAGAATAAAAATTTAACCAAGAATTTAGATAGGAAGGTTGGCCAAAACAGCGAGTGAACACGAACAGACCACACAATACAAAAACACAGAAAACATTAACTTGTCTCTGTAGATCTCATGATTTGGAGCACAAAAGTGTTAGGCTGTGCCTTTATCAGCCCTCCCAGTTCCCCATCTCTAGAAGTTCCTGAACTGGTAAATCACTGGTACGTGGTTGGAAAGTTCTTGGAGATGGGGATCTGTAAAGATTGAACTAGCCAGCATCACACCATGTTGCCAAAATTGTGGTGTGAATTTTCTTATCAGTTTGAATAGCCTTTGCCAATATGCCAGCACAAATCAGAGAAACAGGTTTTATCATACACTCAGAGAGCAAGACACTCCACCAGCAGTTGATGCAAATATATCATTCACATTATTTATACATTACATGAAACAAAGGAAAAAAAGATGGCTGTTCATTACAATGCAACTGGTGTTACAAAGAAAAACATGTACTTGTTAAAGAAAGTGTATATGATTAGCTATAGGAGACAGAGAAGGGATGTGCCCTTTTTAGTATAGCTAATTTCACTAAGTCAAAGGGAACTACCTGTCAGGCTAGATAAGGGAGGGAAGACATTCCAGAGATTGTTGAATCCTCCTTTTTCAGCAATCAAGTCTTTTTGGACCAATTAGAAGATGAAAGAAGAAATTGAAGAGAACCAACTATAGTAGCAGGTCTTTCAGTTCATGCAGGGTTCCCACATAGAAAAATGGCCAACACAGAACAAAATGGAGTCAGTTACGTTCTCCAAAAAATTCACTTTCGAGAATTCTCCTATGGTAATTAAAGGGTGATTGATGTTTAAAGCCCTCCCCACATGAATTACAATTACAGGACTTCTCTCCAGTATTTTTCTGGTATTCTCTATTGTGTACACCTTGTTGGAAGAGCTTTCCATAATTCCTTATAAAGTTTCTCTGAGCTTAAAATGAATACTTTCACACATTCATTACTTCTATAGATCTTTTCAGGACATACATCTTGATGCTAAAGTATATGCTCCAGTAGAAGGCTTTCCAACATTATTACATTAACATTTCCTTCTGCTACAAAGCGTCTGGGAGATAAATAAGCAATTCACTGTATCAAAAAGCTTTTCCATATTCATTATGTTCATAAAGTTTCTCTTCAGTATGCTTTTTCTGGTGGGAAGTGAGCTGTGTTCGGAGAATGAAGCCCTTTCCACATTCACTACATATATAAGGTTTCTCTCCGGTGTGAATTCTCTGGTGGTAAAGAAAGGATGAATTATGTCTAAAAGATTTCCCACATTCATTACATTCATAAGGTTTTTCTCCAGTATGAACTCTCTGGTGGTTAGTAAGGGAAGAACCAGAGCTAAAAGCTTTCCCACATTCGTTACATTCATATGGTTTCTCTCCGGTATGGATCCTCTGGTGGAAGGTAAGATGTGTGCTGTGAACAAAGGCTTTCCCACATTCATTACACTCATAAGGCTTTTCTCCAGTATGAATCCTCTGATGGGAAGTAAGCTGTGTGTTCACTCTGAAGGCCTGCCCACATTCATTACATACATAAGGTTTCTCTCCAGTATGAATTCTCTGGTGGTAAATAAGAGATGAGTTGGAGCTAAAAACTTTCCCACAGTCTCTACATTCATAAGGTTTCTCTCCAGTATGAATTTTCTGGTGGGAAGTAAGATGTGCACTCTGGATGAAAGCCTTCCCACATTCATTACACTTATAAGGTTTCTCTCCAGTGTGAATTCTCCGGTGGTAAGTAAGGGATGTACTAGAACTAAAAGCTTTCCCACATTCATTACATTCATAAGGTTTCTCTCCAGTATGAATTTTTTGATGGGAAACAAGATGTGCACTCTGCATGAAGGCCTTCCCACATTCGTTACATTCGTAAGGTTTTTCTCCAGTATGAATTCTCTTGTGGAAAGTAAGCTGTGTGCTCTGATTGAAGGTTTTCCCACATTCATCACATTCATAAGGTTTCTCTCCTGTGTGAATTCTTTGATGGGAATTAAGCTGTGTGTTTCCTCTGAAGACCTTCCCACATTCGTAACATTCATAAGGTTTCTCTCCAGTATGAATTTTCTGGTGGTACGTAAAGGATGAATTGTATCTAAAAGTTTTTCCACATTCATTACATTCATATGGTTTCCCTCCTGTATGAATTCGTTGGTGGGAATTAAGCTGTGTTCGAAGAATGAAAGCTTTTCCACATTCATCACATTTATGAGGTTTCTCTCCAGTATGAATTTTCTGATGGTACATAAGGGATGAGCTGAAGCTAAAAGTTTTGCCACAGTCTTTACATACGTGAAGTTTCTCTCTAGGATGGATTTTCTGATGCTCAGTATGGTGTTTACCCTGAATTAAGTCTTTTCCAAACTCATTATAACCACGAGTTTGATTTACGTTATATATTATATGATCCTGAAAAAGGTTTGAATTACACTTGAATGATTCCCCACATTCATTGTGCACAGAAGGTTTCTCAGGATCATAATTCCATTCTTCTCCCAACTTGGCACACTGGTAATCATCTTTTGAGTATTGTTCCTGGGATGATTTGTCCATAACAATGTCATTTGAAACAGATTCCTTTGTTTCAGGCTCAGTTTTCCATTCTGGAATGAATAAATTAAATACCAGCATTTACATGTTTTTAGTGATGACAGTTTATAAAGTGCTTTCACATATATTACTTCATTTAATCTTTTCAACAACCCTACGAAGCAAACTGCGACACATATTGTTACATTTGAAGGCTCAGAGCAAACTTAACTTTGTGAATGACCAAACTGCTAATGAGGGCTGACTAGACCTCCACAGCAGATCTTCTGACTAGCTTAGTCCATGGCTCCTTCTACACCACTTAACTGCTTCTCAAACATTATATAAGGATCAGAAGTCAATGCTGAGAGATACCATATGAACAGGTATTCAAAGTGAGTAAGTTCCAATATCCAGATCCCAAAGGATTATATCACAGGGTACTCAAACAACCTGCAAAGGTATGTTAATGTCTGAGAAATCATGAAGAAAAAGTATGTTCCTAAAAGAACTGTGACAGATGTCATACTTTTTTAAATGGAGAAAGAAGTAGATTCTGAAAACTACAACTGGCAAGAGGTAGCATTGAACTTGAAATCAGGACAAGTCACTAAACTCTTTAGGTGCAGTTTTCTAATCTACAAATTGGGAATGCCAATAGCTGTAGGGATGTTGTAAAGATTAAATAAGATAAAGTGCTTTTTAGAACCTAAAGAGCTATATAAAAGTCACTTACCCTTTTGATATCAATGTCTGATCAAATCAGAGCACACATTTTGTAAGTAATCAAAAAGCAAAAATTCAAGCCATGCCAACTCAACTATCCCTCATTTCTTTTTTTGTTTGTTTTTTAGGCAATTTGGGGTTAAGTGACTTGCCCAGGGTCACATAGCTAGTTAGTGACAAGTGTTTGGTCTGAGGCCAGATTTGAACTCAGGTCCTCCTGACTTCAGGGCTGGTGCTCTATCCACTGTGCCACCTAGCTGCCCCCCCCCCCATTTCCTTACTGATGAGAATTCATCCTACTCTATTAGGAAGGCTGCTTTAGTCATCATGGAGTTAGATTTCAACGACATATCTGACAAAAATCTTTTAGGTTACCCTTGCTGCTGCAAGGACTGGTCATAAAATACACTTCAGTTATGAGATCTCTGACTGACTGAAATATCATATATAACAGAATCAAATTACTAGATAGATATTAACCTGCAAAGAAGTATCTATTGCCACATATACAATAGGTTATGTACTTTACTCTCTCCTATAATTTTACTGAATTTCAAAACAAAGAAGATGTGCTAATCATATTTGTTGCCTACACAAAGCTATAAAGGACAGCTAATGCACTAGATGACATAATTCAGATTTAAGAACCTAAAGGAGATGGAATTATTTTTCAAGTGCTTCAAGGACGTGTGTGTACTTGCTCCATGGACATAGGTTACAACCCCTCTACTATGTGGTATTTCACCTTTTAGCATTTGTGTGGCCCCAAAATTCATCAGTCCATGGATAACCTGGTGAAGATCCTTACCAAAGTTGCTAGGAAGGCCATATCAACAATGGTCAAGGCTAGACACCAGAAGATCTTCAAGCTTAGCAGGACCCACCACAATTTACCCTCCTCTAACATAGGCTAAGGGTGCCAACAACTACTTTCATATCCTGATGAAGTATTGATGTAGGACTTCAGTGGAGAAACCCAAGAAGCAGGATATGAAATTTAACAGGGATCAATCTTGAAGACCCACAGTTATTCAATGTTAAAAGATTCATCCACACCATTTCAAGTCAGGGTAAAACCTGTTGGAAGACAGCTCAAGTGAATAAATACCTGGTGGTTTGATACAATAAAAAGCACAACATGCAACAATAGATAAATTTGCTTTATTATTATTTTGAAATGGGGGGGGAAGAGTGGATGAGAAGGCAGAAAGATGGTGAATGATCAGGATACCAAAACTTGAAGACTGGGTAAAAGCCCTGAGAATGTTTATCATGGAGAAAACTTCAAATACGATGTGCTTGTTGTTTTAAAATATCTGAAGTATTATCAACTGGTATGATGAAACTAATAGAAGCAGGAATTGGAAAAGGAATTAACAGCTTGGTACAAGAGGGACAAAAACTTGTCCAAGCAACAAACTCCCTGAAAATAAAATCAGACCAAACACAAGACACTGACTTCATGAGACAACAAAAAACATTAAAACAGTCAAAAGACTGAATAAAATACAAGAAAGTGTGAGGTATCTCACTGTAAAAACATCTCGCCTAAAAAACAGATCTAGCATAAAAAACTTAAGAATCATTAGACTATCTAAACTCCACGACCAAAAAAAAGCCTAGACATCATATTTCAAGAAATTTTGAAAAAAAACTGCCCAGATCTCTTAGAACTAGAGGGTAAAGAAAGAAATCTGCTTGTCACCTCCCGAAAGAAACCCCCCCCCAAAAAGCTCCCAGGAACATCACAGCCAAAATTCAGAGCCTCTAAATCAAAGAAGCCAGAGTGAAAGAATTCAAGTACCAAGGAACCAGAGTGAAACTCATACATTTTAGCAGCCATCACTAAAAAGAAGCAGAGAACTTGGAATATGATACTTCAGATGGTAAAGGACATGGGCTTATAGCCAAGAATAACTTACCCAGCAAAACTGAATATAAAGCTATAGAGGGGAAAAAAAAACGGACCTTTAAAGAAACAGAAGATTTCCAAGCCTTTGGAAGGACCAAAGCTATGGAGAAAATGAGAAGTTCAAACTCGGGAGTGAAGAAAATGAAGAGAAATGTACAAAGGTACTGAATGAATAATGGTAAAGGATTAAGTAAGGATGAACTGATTACAATTAAATATGGGGAGAAAAAATGTGTGTCACCTTTCTGAACAGTATCATTATCAGGGTTCAGAGAGAGTCCAGTTAGACCAGGCCTGGGAGTTACTCCATTAGGTCTTGATGTTTTTAAGAAAAGAACAGACAGAGATGAAGAGGAATACACTGGGAAAAGGGGAGGAAAAGAACATAAGGAAAATTATCTTATCTAATCAGGGTATATAAGTAAACATCTACACAAATGAGGAAGAGTGGGTTGGGGGAGCAGCTGACACTTGAACCTCACTCTCATCTGAATTGATCAAAAGAAAGAATACACACACTTGCACACACAAGGTACAGAAATACATTTTACTCAACAGGGAAATAGGAGGTAAAGGAATCGAAGGGAAGAGGAGGCATTAGAGGGAGGGTAGATTAAGGTATGGGGATTAGTACTAAGCAAAACAAACCAAGGATATGCAAAAATATTTAGAACCCTTTCTGAGTTGGTAAGAATTGGGAATCTGTGGGGGTGGCCACAAACTTGGGAACAGATGAACAAGTTATGGTATATAGATGGGATGGAATAATATTGTGCTGAACTTTTATCAGTGTAATGACCAACCAAGATTCCAGATAACTAATGATGAAACAAGCTCCCCAACTCTTGAGAGAGGAGAAGGATGCAGAATGCAGAAAGAGACAAATGTTATTTAAGACATGGCAAAGTGGAAATTTGCTTTGATTGACTATACATGTTCATACCTACCAAGAAGGGAAGTCACAGGAAAAATCTAACCTCTCTGAGGAACGGAGTAGAAAGAAAGACGGAAGAGGATAACATTGTTATCTAAATGAGTTTTAATTCCAAATCTGAAATATGGCAATATTTCCCAGCACAATTTCTCTCACATGTTCTTGTAAGGAGAAAATTATATTAAAACTATGGATGCATTTTGATAGGTGAACAATCAATGGCATAATCTCATGTTGAAACATGAAGGGCAGGATGCATGGGAGCAGATATAGGGAAGTGACTGGGATATCCAGCACTCCCCAAGAAAGGACTAGCCAATGAATTGTCTGGCTATCTTGGCTCCCAAGGGAATGATTCTGTACAAAGGAGAGTTGGAACAAGGCTAGATAGGATACATCTGTGGCCTGCAGAAAGATCCCTATACCTGTGGCCAGTAGAAAGATCCCTGCACCTGTAGCCCAGAAAGAGACCTCTTCTCTCTCCTGTAGCCCAGAATGAGTCCCCTATTTTCGTAGCATGTAGAAAGACTTCTATATTTGTAGCCCAGAGACAGAGACTCCTATTCCTACAGCCCAGATAAGGACTGCTACCTCTGTAATCCAGAGAAATATCCCTACGCCTACACCTGAAGCCTGTAGAAAGGATCCTACATGTATGGTTCACAGAACACTACTACATCCACTGCCTAGAGAAGACTCCCTGTGGCCACAGGAAGATTCCTTACACTTTTGGCCCATCAAAAAACCCTACATCTGTGCCCTAGAGACCTACTATGATCTACAGCCCCTCCAGAGACTCCTGCACCCAAGGCCCATAGAAAGATTCCACAGACTTTCGATCAATGAGCCCCTTCCAACTTTCTGTTCATCCATGGTGGAAGGAAGATGCATGATGGGGCCTGGAGGGGATAAATATTTCTCACAGTGTGGGAGATTCCTTCAGATCACTCTGGCCAGCCTGGGCCTATGAGCAAAAGCTATATAACCGGGAAGCAAAAAGCTCCAGACCATCCCCCAGAGAAATGGGGAGAGAAAGGAAGTGGTGCGTGAAACCCTGTGGCTAGGAGGTAGTTGCAGTGGGAACCATTACAACAGCTCATGTTCAGGGTGTGCTTTCAGGATCTCAGTTGATACCATGGTGGACAAAGGATGTGGTCACAGGGCTGGAGGTGTGGGGGAATAGGTCTAATGAACAAATGGGATGAGTCAATGGGACAGAAAAATCCCCAGCAATCTGGAGCTACAAGCAGCTCAGGAGCAACACATGCTAAGGGGACAACCCAGTGTTCCAGATAGGACCTCCCATGGGACAAAGCAGGACCACAGGCTGAGGGAAGAGGCTAAGGAGCTGCTAAAATGCTCCTGGCCAAAAGCATATTGTAATGGCTCAACCTGACCTAAATAAGGTTGTGTTTTTCAAAGAGAAGAGAAAGGAAAAAGAGGAAAATCTTTTTTATGTGAGATACCAAGGGCAGAGGATAGACGGCGGAGTAAAAGC